TCTTTTTTAATGATCAACTTTACTGAGTTTTTACAGAACAAATTATAATAAAGTGTGCAAAAATGACTACATTTTTACTTTGTTTGACTATAGCAGCAGTCATGTCGTTCCTGCCGTTTCACTGTCTTAAGTGGTTTCAAAACTTTTTGTTTAGTTGGATCAAAAATGTTTGAAATATTGCTAGTATACAGTGTTCTAACAAGTTTCTGGCTGTATGTTTCCGGCCATTAAGAGAGCGGAAAAACTGAGCAACGCATTAATCAATGCAGAATCTTTTGGAAGTGTTTCAAATACATTGAGCTATTCAAGAGCTTTTCTTTGTTTCTTCCAAATATTGCTATTTTCTCTTGCTTATATTGATGAGCAAAATAACGGCTGAATTGTTAGCACAGGTGATCTGCTTTGTAAATATAATATGCTAATTTTAAAAATATGTTTGTGGCAGAATAAAAGCGAGTTTTTTTCAATCGGTAACAATTTTCATGTCTCATGTTTTACAGGGAAAGCAACATATTTTTAATGTTTGCTAAAAATGGTTTTTTTTGCACTACTTTGAGCAACTGACGTTGAATGATACACATGTTTAAAGCAGTAAAATCAATGTAGAGTAAAAAAATCATTTGACGTAATGTTTATTCAGCAAATTAGTTCTATCACTAAAAAAAAAAAACACTGATAATACCAATACAATTGCAATTTTTGCTGTTTTACCTATAAAAAAATGAATTGAAATTTTTGAAAACAGAGAGCAAGTAAATAGTAACTCTCACAGTCTTCATACTGAACATTTTACATTTTCAAATAAATAACAAAAGTACATCTGACACTGTTACAGTTGCGAACTTATAACAGCAGTTTAAGATGTTGAGATGACAAACATAAAAATCGATTTGGTCGTAAGACAATGCTGATATCTTTGTGTTGACATTTCTCTGTACCTAACTGTTCAGTTGTTCAAATTTTTATTGATCAATCTCTTTCAGAGCCTTTTTCTTGATTTTTTATTATTTATATTTTCATGCAGTTCTGAAGTAATCTTGCTTAACGATCTTATGTAGCCGTATTATTTTCTTTTTCGTTTATTATTGTAATTCTACCTTAAAAATCTTTTATTATGCTTTTGCGTTTAGTGATTATGATGTCGAAGCAGTGGATAGTGTTAGCATCTGCATTTGTCGTTGGCACTATTGGAACTCTAATTGCTGCATTTATGTTCGATCGGCACAGAAAAAAGTTGTTCAATATGCTTACAGACTATGTTTTAATTGGTCACGTATCTGGATTAACTATTTATCCTGTGAAATCAATGAAAGGAGTATGTTTTTTTGAGTCTGTTACCAATAAGCAGTAATTTTAGATGGAAATCCAGCTTAATTAAAATATTTGTTTTGGGGTACCTTTGGCAATTTCCAAGGTGGAAAATTAAGTGTCAGAACAAGGGGTTTTTGATAATTTCTTCTCAATATCATAAACCTCTTCAGCTTTTTAGGTCAGTGTAAAAGAAATGGAATGTACACAGATTGGTGGAAGACTGAAGGAAATGCAGGATAGGCACTTCTTGGTGATCAGTGAAAACACTGGAAAATTCTTAACATCTCGTCAGTATCCTAAACTTATCACAGTTTCCACTGAAGTTTGTGTAAGGTTTCAACTTTGTAAACTGACGACTAACTAAAACTTGAGGTTGACCTTTTATTTAGCAGAAATCAAAGTATAAGCATTATAGTCTGCTATTATAATGTGATGCATGTGTCAGTTTTTTCTAATGATGACTTTCTTTCAAATTCAATTTTTTTTATTTTTCGCTGTTCACTTTGCAGCTGAAATTACAATGCTGGTCTCTTCCACACACAATGATTTTTTTAAAACTTACTTGAATTACATCAACGGCATTTATACTTTATTACTCTAATCTACTTTTTAGGACGGTAAGCTAATACTAGAAGCTGGAGGTCGTAAATTTGAATTGAACATTGCAGAAGTAATTCAGAGAAACAACGTAAAAAGAGTGGAGTAAGTTCTTCAGTGTGATTTCGCTTGAAAACGTAACAGCCTCAGAAAAAAGCTATGATGACTATGTAAAAATGCAGCAAAATTCAGCAATTTTCCAAAAAAAAGCTTTTTTTTGTGAAGAATCGAATTGCCGCATAAATTAAGAATATTGAAAGCTAGACGGCGATCTAATACATGTAAGTATTTTGTGCAATGTGCAGTGGTAAATTATAGCTTAAGTAGGGCTTTCTAACATGGTCTTTTTTTTGAGAAGGTGGAATACCAGCTTTTACATAGGATTAAGAAAGATAAAGGCAGAAACAGTAATAAGCTTATATGCAGAATTCTCGGTCAGTCTGCTGTTTTATTTCATCTTTCTAGTATTAAAAACTAGGTTATAGTCAAGTGTAACGGAGTGCTTCCATCAAATTTGGAAACAGATTTTACCTGCAACCTCAGCTTTTTTCAAATTGCTCCGCTTTCTTCAGAACTGGTTCCTGCTTGGAACACAGACTTTCAGTTTGTATATTCTGCGAAGAACTTTTTGCGCAGTAGTTTTCAACTCCTTTTAAAGACATTGAACGAGGTAAACCAGTTTGCAACTTTTGTAATAAACTTTAATAAAATAAATCTTGTGAACGAAAGAAAAAATCGTTATTTAAGTAGAATAATACTTAAACGGCTCTTCAAGCAGCGTTTTTTCAGGTTGTTTGAAAAGTTAAAGCAGGAAGGTCTAGACTGCGGTGATGAGATAGGCGAATTCCTCCGTCAGTTCCTTGATACCACTGATAAAATAAGACTACTGTATTATATTAACAACTTATACAGCGAACGTGATGTTGTGTCGGAGGAGGATTGGCTTCTAGGCTCAGTTCCCAAAATAAGAGCTCCTGTAAGTCATTTTACTGGTTCTATTTCGGTGATTTTTTAGAACGATAACTGACCGTTTACAGGTAGCATACCCTGATGAGAGTCCGTACCTTGCCATCTGCGACAGCTCAATTGATGACCTGAATTCCCGACTCCCTCCAGAAGATAAGGTAGATATGAGGTGGTTTCGACCAGTGATACACATACAGGGTCCTAAACCTTATGATGAGGATATGTGGGGCGAACTGAAAATTAGAGACGTGACTTTTGCTTGTTATAAGCCGTGTACCAGGTAAATTTTACGTATTTTGGACAATTTGAAATTGCATTTTTGGCAGATGTGAGTAGCTTGCTTTTCAAAAGGCCTATATTGAGCCAATTTTGGATACCGTTCAAATCAATGGTTCTGTTCTGTCACTATGAAGAGTAATGCTAATTTTCTCACAATCTTACTACTGCCTAAAAGTGGGTCTCGTTTGTTTCATATTTTTAAAATTTATTCTTGGAGGTGTGTAGTGACAACAATTGATCCTGATACAGGGATTCGGAGACGAAATAACCAGCCATTAAAAGTGTTGAAAGAGTAAGTTTGTCAATTTTTGTGCCTTTATTTTTAAAAAGTTGTATATTCTAAAGACTCTACAACATCGAAGGCGGGAAAAACTTTTATACCTTCTTATAAAACCCATCTCAGGTACCGCAAAGTTCCCGAAAAGCTTCATAAGATCTATGGTGACAGTCCTGTACTTGGAGTATTTATGGGGGTTATGGACAAGGGTACAATTCACGTTGGCGATCCTGTGTTTGCTCGATATAAAAATCATGCGTATTGAAGTTTTCGTTATTCATAGGTTCATATCAAAGGTATTTTAGCAGTTGGGGCCGTTATCATTCAAATAAGATCCAAGTTGTTTGGATTGCCATCAGACTGCACAATTTTTGCATCTTTTTCGAGTTTTAAAATTCTTTTGCCAACCACTCTGATAGATTCATAGTCTTGATAATGACTATGTTTCAGGTGATGTTAACAACTAAATAAAATCCTTCTAAAGCACGTTTTTTCTGATTTACAGAATTCAGAAATTGCCGTTATAGGATTGATGTGGAATAGGAAACTGCTCAGTCAACTTGGGCATACTGTTGTGGTGATTAAAAGAAGTAGCGCAAGAATTGCGGAATAACCGCCGTGTTTGGCGCTGCAATATTTATTGCTTATCACGGCATAACATAATAATGATAAGAATTCTGCTATACTTTTTACTATTGATTTAATAAGTTGATAACTAAAAGATGTTCCAGATTTTTAGAACGGCTTGGATAATGTGCATGACAGAAACAGTGGTGGATTTTTGTCCATCAAGTTACATATTCCTATCACTCATGTTATTCTTCCAGTCTTTAATTTTTGTGTCACTGGTAACAAAATTTGCAAAGTAAATGTTATTTATAACAAATTTTTTACACCTATAAGGAGATTTGGTTACACGGAATAGGGCTGAGGCTGACACTATAAAGGACAATGCGTTTTTTTAATATTTGTTGGCTTCTGTATAATACTACCAAACTCCTGATGTACTAAGTTATTCAGTCTCGGAGTTCCAGTTTCTACACTTTTAAATCAGAAGATATGTGGCAGGCTTAATAAACAAGTAAAGAAAGAGGTAAAGTCAGAGAAATACAATGAGTTACTGAAATGCAGTAAAATACAGCATACGCGATTGCAAACTGGCTGCAATTAGGTGTCTCGTAATCTACCAACTCATAAGATTAGTCAATCAAAAAAATGATAAAACTAAATGTGATATTTTTCTGCACAAAATGGAAGAAGTACAAAAGTTAAATGGGGAAAGAGTAAGTGTGAAGCAAGTCAAGTCGAAATCATTAGACGTTGAAAAGTTTAGTAGAACACGCATTGCGCTTCACAATCAGTGCGTTTTTCCAACTTATATAAGTACAATTGTTTATCGCTCTTTATATAGCTCAATTGGTGTCTTCTAGTCCAATAGTTGACCTACGAAAAAACTACTGGTTTGTAATTTAATGCCCTTTATGGCTAAACTGTACACGACTAGAATATTATAATATTTTTTACAGCAATTATTTTTTCTTGGCAGCAATACAGTAATAATGGACGAGAGATGAAACGTAATTCAACCTAGCACGAACTCCCCCATCAGTACTGTTTATGTCTAAACAGACATTTCTTCGACAATGACTAGACCACATCCTCGCTGCCAAATTGGTTCACAATTATCTGGCCTAGATGGGGAGCAAAAAAAGCTCTGTTAAGTTGTACCTGTCAGCAATAGCAGCAAAACAGACCTATTTTCTTACCACACCACTCAGGTACAGGAAATGCTGCAGCTTAATGCAGTGCTCTAGTCCGAACTTCATTCTGATGCAAATGACACTAGTGTAGAACCTTTGCTGACGTTATCACCGGCTGAACAGTGTAAGGCAGTAACCGTTGCATGACTGGGAGCGCTGCAAATAGAATCTACGGTGTAACATATGAAAAAAGATATTATGCAGTCTATTCAAGTTAAATTAACAAAAACGCCTAGCATTTACTAGTGTAACTGACCGAATAATGTACTCCATTTTCATTGCAATCATCACAATTAGTGCTTGGCCCTGCTTTACCTGTTCACCCTGGCTGACCAATACCCTTTCAATTACTCCGGGTATCGGAGAGTGTGCCTCAAGTTTTTCGTCTTCTTCATTTTTGAACACCTCACTCTCTTTTGGTAGCGCGAATTGAAGTTGCTTTTCACCAAAAAGCTGCAACAACAAAATCCCGGTCTTTTTGTAGTGCTGTCCTGCACAGGAAAATCAGAATGCCCAAAAAATGTAAATCAACTGACCGTAATTCTGTCTCCAGCTAAAATTGCTTTCCGACTTCTTCTTTCATTATTTACAACAGCAACAAAAGCGACCACTGAGCGGCTGTATTTGCTACGCTCAATTTCGACAAATTTCGTGTTTCCATTGGCAAATATCAGCAATTTAGAGGGTGAACATATTGTAGCTTTATATTCCACACCGCTTAGCTCGATCTTCTTCGTGGCTTTGTAATTTAGCCTCAAAAACTTTTGAGTTGCTTTGAGAAAAATGAAAATTTCCGTTAATAAGAATGTTATTGACAGAGACCATAATTCTGAGTCTGAGATGAAAGGTCAAATGTGGTTTGAAAGCTAAACCAAAAAAAACTTTACCTAAAATAGTCGTTAATAAGAAAAGGATTATTTTTACTGCTGTGGAGGGGTTTGGTCAAAAGATAATAAGCAGTTATGGCGTCGCATAAATCGTTTTCAGAAAGCCTTTCCTCCTCAAAAAGTTCCTTTTCATGATCTTTTATGAAGTCTGTGTAAAGGTCACCCTGAAACGGTAGATTATGAAGCAGAAAAAATTCAAAAGTGACAACATTTAAAATAACAGTTCTTATAACCCCCCAAAAAAACAACTTTTTGCCGCAAAATGAAAGTGGCTCATAAAAACAATAAACCACTAAACTCCTATTATCTGTCTCTAATAAACAGCACCTTTTGAAAATCCGGATTACCCAACGTTTTTATCATAAACTCTATGTTCGTAGGTACACCAACAATGTGAGTGTCATTCAATGCTTTTTGCAATTTTACAATTGCTTTTTCTCTGTTACTTCCCCATGCAATTACCTGAAAGAAGCTAGAGGTTGCATGTGCTAATTTCTGTAAAAAAAGCAAAAATTACAGCCGAGAATGAAAAAACAAAAATTTGATAGACCTTGGCTATCATTGGGTCGTAATGGATAGTAACTTCGTCACCCTGCCTTACACCAGTGTCAACTCGAACTGAATTTGGAATCGCTACATGGATTAGTTTCCCTTAAAAAGTACGGGATCAAACAGGCAGAAGAGATCTAACTAGACTGTCAAAAAAATAAAAGAACGTAAAACATTAGAAAATATAAAAAAATGAAACCTTTTGATGCAAACAAATCAAACAGCAAACTTGAATACCTGCTGTCGGCAGAAAACCAGACCGTGTATCTTCCGCGTAGATTCGAGCTTCTATAGCATGACCACCGAGTTGGACCTGATCTTGCTTTAAAGGTAGTTCTTCTCCCTCTGCAACGCGCAGTTGCCACTCCACTAGATCAAGTCCACTTATTGCTTCAGTAACAGGGTGTTCCACCTGCAAAGAATTGATTGAAACTGCGAGGTTGCAAACCCTCCAGTACCTCTCGTATTGAAAACCCAAAAAATTTAGATGTAGGCTTGTAATTCGATGTATGAGCGTAAATTTACTACAAAGACTACGATGTAGTGGTAGACACTGCAAGACAAACGAAAAACAGTATAGAAAAGTGAGTTTTGACCTGAAGACGAGTATTCATTTCCATGAAGTAAAACTGGCCATTTTTATCCATGATAAATTCCACCGTTCCTGCTCCAACGTATCCAATCGCTTTAGAAGCTTGAACTGCAGTTTCACCTAATTTTCTCCTAGTTTCGGCATTGATTCCAAATGCAGGTGCCTGTAAGCAAGGTTAAATGTATAAAAATACGAAAAAAATTGATGTCAAACGTCATAATTTTTTCTTTTTCTTAGAAGTTTAAAATATTTTTTAAAGTGATTTTATTTTGTAAAAGAAAGTTGCCTGTATATTTTTGTTATAGTAATAATAATATTAATAATTTTAAGTTTCTTTTAACTTCCGAACCTCTTCAATGATCTTCTGATGACGCCTCTGAACGCTACAGTCACGTTCCCAAATGTACACGTAATTGTCATGAGTATCTCCGAATACCTAAAAAATTGAAATCTTGTCTTTCGTTTGTAGCAATTTTTACAGTCAATTTGAATTGAACTGTCCAGCACAGGTAGCATTACTGCAGGCGTCTGTGTTTATGGCAGCATTGTCAGTAGGCAAATTTTAAGATATTACAGTGTTCTTTTGGCTCACGGTGGATTAATTGCAAAAGTTAAACGGTAAGTTCTCATTGTACTCCCACAAGTGCAAAAAAATGACTGAAGAGGAAGCAGGTCAGAAGACAGCGCTTTAAAGATTTCTTATGTTTTATCTTCGTAGTAATTATAAAGATCAACAAGATTTTTTCTAAATCAACTAACAAAAAAACTGGCGTTATCTTGAGCACTGAAAGCATACAGAATCTGAACTCAATAACTTATAATAATAACCAAAAATTCAGTTTAAAAGATCTTTGTTTACAGTCAGTGGCACAAAATAAATTTGGCTCAGTAACTTTTAAGCAAATATTTTCCATAGTCCATTCCTGCTGTTTTTTTCTGTCAATTTCGCTTCTACACAAATCCTCTTCGCCTTTTGGAGACGCCCCTCACCAACACTATACCCCTTACCAAGAAACTTTTTGCCTCAGTGAAAGCCACATTTCTACAAACCTTCTACTACACCCTGTCCAATTCATTCTCATTTCGCATTCTTTCCCAAGCAAAACTAAAAGTCCTCTACACTGCAAGTTTTGTTTAATAATTTGAAAATGGTAAAGTGAAGTCTCATATGCATTAAAATTCTTATTAAATCACTCTTATCTCCAAACATTTAACTAGCTTTTTGCCATCTACTTTCTTGCGATATTATTTTCATCAATACTTTAAAAAGCTGGAAGCGTCATAATGATATTCTAAAAAGTGATTAAAATACTGAATTGTTTTACTTGAACTTCAATATGCCGTGGTCTCTCAATGAACTTTTCAACAATCATAGATGAGTCCCCAAAAGCTTTGTGGGCTTCCGATCTTGCAGAACTTAACTTTTCAGCGAACTCGCTTTCCTCCAACACTACCCTCATACCCTTCCCACCGCCACCATAAACAGCTTTTAGCATAACTGGGTATCCTGAAAGAACATTCACAATAAGCAAACAAAGGGGTTTTGTTGAAATTTTGTAGACAATAATTTGAAATATATTTTATCACCCAAAATGTCTTTTGCCCTAGTTTAAGAGATGATTCAATTCGATCTACATATAATAATGAATTACTTTACAGGATATATTTAGTATAACTGTTCTGAACCTTAACCGTAGCGTACATTATTGATGGGAGTATCTTGCAAGTTAATTTCTGGATTCAACGACCTACACAAACCCGATTTTTAAAGGTTTCTAGCACATTTCAAATAGCTGACCGATCAAAGTGGCTTCTTCACGGAGTTTTTGATCGCTTTGGTCAGTTCCATGGTAACCCCTAATTACTGGAACACCGGATTCAGCCATCAGTCGTTTTGAGACATCTTTGGCACCCATATCTCTAATTGCTCTTGGAGGAGGCCCAACGAATATAAGTCCTGCTTTAGCACAACATTCCGCAAACGTAGCATTTTCGCTTAAAAAACCGTAACCAGGATGTATCGCCTTAAAGTAACTGTAGGGTTATTTTTGACAGCTATTTTAAGTGTAATTCAAAAATCATATAACAGTCACAAACCTGGACTTTTGCTTTGTTTGCAACCTCAATGATTCGGTCGATGTTCAAATAACTTTGAACTGATGATGAAGGTCCTATGTGATAAGCAAAATCTGCCTTTGCCACATGTAGTGAGTTTCGATCGGCATCTGAGTAGACAGCAACGGTTTCGATTCCCATACGTCGCGCTGTTTTTATAACCCTGAATACAAAACAAAAAAGGCTATCTAGAACTGGTATAAAATGACCATAACTATAATTCCAACCCGTTTTTGATTTTGATAACTGACTTTATATACTATCAAATACCTTATCGCTATCTCACCGCGATTTGCTATGAGCAGTCGGCTAATTTTTTTGGCAGTGGAGAACCTCCTCACTGCGTCTTTCGCCGGACACTTCCAATAAAGTACTCGTTCAAAAACCATTATTGAAAGCCCAGTTTCCAGGTGTATCTGAAATTTTTCTTAGCTCTGTTATAACTGTCTTCAAACAGTAGCGAAAATTAGACCATAACAATTGAAAGGAGGTAAGACTTTGGCTTAACAAACTTTTTGCAAATTTGAAGGAAAATGCTGATAAAACGACAAATTTCAATATCTATATAGCTCATTTTGTAATAAATGAGCCACTGATTACAGAGTTATAATAAAAAAAGAAGTCGCAAAAAAGTATTGGATTTTGAGTTTTTGATACATTAATGGCATTTAGTAAACACTTGAGAACAGAATGACACCGTAAAATATGTTCAATGCGTGACAAAATTTTAGCGTGATAAAAATTTGGTCAAAAATTTTTTTTACAAGTACTTTAAAAAATTGAAGAGCTAAATTTTAGACGAAAACTTTTGTTAGCCGTCTGTACCAAATTTTGAAGACAATTCGCCTGGATGCTATTGCACTCTAAGCCGTATTGTTGTTAGCCAAATTCCAAACTGTTCGAAAAGCAAAACGCTGGACAACTGCTCATTTAAACCCGTATAATCTATTTGGGAAAGCATACTAGTGAAACCAATGTTTCATTGTTGATCTCTGATATTACGTATCGAATAGATAATTATATTTCACAGAAACATTCAGAGCACCGTTAAAAACACCAATCATTTTGCTTTAATTTTACTGACCTGATAAATATGCTGTATGGAAACAATTTGATGACGTTTGAAAAAAAAAATTAAAGAATTGAAATAACTGTAAAATAAGTTGTTGTAAAAATTAAAAAAAAAAGGAATTAAAAGAATAAAAATATAAACCCATTTAGTTACACTTTTTTTTTCATCTTTTTTTGCGAACATTTTATTGTTGACAAAATAAATTAGGTCAAAAAAAGGGACAAAAAAAAGTGAAGTACTTTTTTGTTGTTGGTCAATGTTAATTGCTGTTTTCACTTGTAACATATAATTGCCCTATAATAAAACTGCGATTTTTTGTTAACGGCAGAATTTTACTCCTTTTTTTTTTCTTAGCATAAACAGTATAGTGTAAATTTTTTGAAAAACAGATTATACTGGTATCAAGAAAGAAAAAATTATTAATACTTTTATTTTTTACCGTTTTATTGTATAGGATTTTTTGTGTTCCTTAAAAAAAGCAAAATTTTTCTTTAAAAAAGCATTTTTTTTCACAGGATAACAGTGGCAAAAATAACCCAGTTTTAAATTTTTTGCTTTTACACAAACAAACACACCTGTCATTCCTATCAGAAGCGAAAAGAATTTCAGTAAAACAAAAAAAAAA